AAAAAAAAAAAAAAAAAAAAAGTATCCACTTCTGTAGATTCTTTTAAATTTTGAAAATGAACTGTATGTTAATAAACACTGACTTTAGAATCATTCAAAGTGCGTACACATTTTTTTGGTACACCCCTGTATATGGTGCCGGATTCTCAAGTCTGCCACTGCGACTGGCCTGTTCTCACGATCTCGATAACGGGCGTGTACTGTCGGGTTGGCTCGCATAGAGGAAATAAGCGGACGAAGCTTGTACCAGGCCGTAACTCCACCAACGATTCGAACAAAGCAGGAACTTGAACCCTAAGAAACCTCCATTTTTCTTCCCATTCATTACGAATTTTAGAGCTAGGAAGAACCTACTGGGATTTCTATCTTCATACACCATCAAAAAAGGGGGGGAAAGCAAACTCCTAATTCAATGAGAGAGCTGCCATTTCCTTGAAAGACACGTCTAGACGGCTCCCACCCAGCACTGCTGCCAGCAGACTGGCCCTGGGGCCTTGTGGAACAGGGGACAGCTGTCTAGACACATGCAGGCTGCCCCCAAGGTGGGACTCAGAGGCTGACCTTCCGTCACAGGCTCCTCTTCCTCGTTGTCGGTGCTGCTCGGCTTCTCGGCATCGCTCTCCAAGCCCTCGTTCCGGGGCCCCTTCTCCAGCGGAATCTCGCTGCTCACAAAGTAAGCAGCCAGGCCCAGCTCCTGCTCCAACGCCGTCCTCACCAAGCAGGAGGAGTTTATCAGACGCAGGTCACAGTACCTCAGAGACCTGGGAGGAGACAGGTGGTGTCTGTCCAGCACCTTCTGCAAGCAGGCACCACGCTCAGCACGAAGGGAACCGGCGAGCGAGTGGGACCCACGCCCTGCCGTCCCCATTGGGGCCCAGCACTTGTGTAAACAGAAGAGCAACGGCATCACTGTGAGCCTTCGCCAGAGCCGATCCAGCTGGAAGTGTCTCAGGCACCTGCCGTGTGTTAGCCGGTGCTGGGTGTAACCAACAGAGCAGGGACTTGAGACAAAGACGAGGCTGGAAGCCCAGCTCGGCCACTTCCTAGTGACAGGCTCTTCCACAGGGTGCAACCTCTTGGAGGCTCAGAGTGTCTTCCTCCGAAACACGGGAATGAATATTAACCACACCCTAAGTGCACTGTTCTGAGGATTATAGGTAATGGTTGAATATTTAGTTACTCATCAACAATTAAAATGCACCAGGGATAGTGCTAGGTATTAGGGACATAATTACAATATGTCAGCATCATACTGAAAATGAGAGTCTATCTGGGAAGACAGACAGACAGTGATAAGACATCCGGAGTAAGTGAGCAGAGGATGGGCCATGGCAGGGCCTGGAGGTGTGCAGAGGGCCAGCACAGGGCTGGGAAGAGACTCTGCAGCTCTCTGTGGACCTCAGGAGAAGGGCCTTTCACGGCTCATCTATAAAACAGGGCAGTAATCCTATTGCTGCAAGTAGTAAACACTACATTAAAAAGTCTGTAATGTCTGGTCACTGGGGTGTACACCTGAAACTAATATCATGATGTATGTCAACTGTATTTGAAAATAAAAAATGATTTGAAGTAAATAATAAAAATAATTTTTTAAAAAACAGGCGTAGCATGGTTCCTGATGCAAAGAAGATAGTCAATGCTTGTGCAAATTTTAGATAGATAAAGACGTTATCTTAGTCCTTAAATTGAGGAATGGAAGAGTTAATCCATGTGAAATAGCAACAACCAAGGTCAAAGGCTTGGAGCCCCCTCCTTCTCCCCGCTCGTGTGCTCACAGCATGCACTAGCCCTTGCCTAATGGGTGTAGCCCAGTGGAGGGCAGCCAGGCTTTGGAGTCAGGAGGCCCTGGCATCCAATGTCAGCCACACTGCTTAGTCTTAGCCTCTGTCTGCCCCGGGGCCGTACCAGTCATGCGGGACTAAGGGAATAATACCTTCCTCAGGGTTATGGTGAGCAGAGTGGAAAAAAAGCACATAAAGGGTCTAGTAGACTGGCCAGCATGCAGCAGGAACTCAATAAATGTCAGCTCCTGCTATTTTATTACCAAAGCAAAGACATGCAAAGGCTCCACACATGGCTGCCTGCGTTTCTCTGTGGGTATGAAGTCTTTAAAAGCCAACCTGTCACCACCAATTCCAGCAACTGCCTTACTGAAGGCCCGGTGAGCTCTGTCCCAAGTGCCTGCCAGTCTGTGTGGAGACCCCAGGAGACGCCAAGCGGGCTTACGGCTGCCACCTGCTCGGCTGTGATGGCCGGGAACACATACAGCCTCTGAGACAGTCAGCCACCTGCCCTTTTCCCAGAGCACCTCCTAAATCAGGGGGCAGCTACCACAGGAGCCTGTACACCAGCAGGAAATGCAGCCCCGACCCCCGAGATGATCCCATACTTTCCTAAATGGAACGGCCATTCCTAACATGCACGGTGACCGCCCACCCCCTGCCATGGGGAGAAACAGAGAGGCATTAAGTCCTATCTCCAGCTGCAGGGCCTCCACCCAGAGCCTAGCAACAGCCCCCGCCCCACTTCCATGAGCACAAAGGGTGTCTGTCAGAGAACTAGATAGTGTCCCAGGTGTCAGACATGTCACTGCCATCAGCTAGAAAACAGTCATAGTAAAGATACAAACCTACGATGACTATGAAGGTGAATGTGCCCCCTAAAGCCAGGCAGTGGAAGCCCAGCCTGGCAAACTCCCCAGGTGTGGGCCCAGACTCCTCAAAGGGGGGCATAGCCCCCCTCCACTCACCTGGGTAAGGACTCCCCATGCGGGTCCATCCCACTGAAAATTAGGATGCAAGGCAGGCCCTCCAACTCCAAGTAAGTCTGAGGTCTCCACTCCGCATCCTCGATTTTCTGCCACATCTGCAGATAATTAAGCAGAAATATAAAACCTAAGGCTCCTGACTTCCCAGCTAGCCCAGCTCTGGGGGAACCTCGCTGGCCTCCTACTGATCTGAAGCCCTTGTGTCGTGTCCTTTGATAGAAAGGCAAGTTCTTTGTACTGCAAATAAGTAGGTCACCTGCTTCTCCACTGTTCCCAGCCACTCGCACGCTGCCTGGAGCCCACACAGCTGCTCAGAACACACCCGCTCCCTGATTCTCCGGGGACGGCACAAAGCCTCGGTGTGTCTAATGTTTATGCCGTGTTTCTTCTTTCTAACGCTTTTGCATTTATTTTCTATCACCTGTGGGTTTAGTGAGACGCTGCTATGAAAGCTGGGAACCCTGCTAAGTCTGGGAGGCTGAGATCTTTGGGGGTGACTCCTGCCCTCCATTGCCTGGGGGAAGAGCCAGGTGACAGACAGCGAGCACCACACCGGCCCCAGGTGCGGGGAGGGCCCCCAGTGGGGGAGTGGGGCAGCTTCCCGAAAGGGGAAGACAGAGCTGAGCTCTGCAGGTTGGCAGACGTTAGACAAGCAAAGGAGAAGAAACGTGTGTGCGCCAGGAGGAAAGAGCCTCGGCTCAGAAGTTTTAAATAGCAAGACTGTGTCTAGGGGGGCGGCGAGGGGTTAGCCTTGATGATCCGGTACCCCTGGACTGGAAGATGCAGGTGGGGACCTAGCAGAGAGGTCGCTGGAGGGGTGGCAGGGTGCAGAGAGGCCACGCTAGTCACACGTGGAGTCTGTCACCACTCGGCCTCCCCCCTCGCCTTGGACACCAGCGCCCACCCACATCCCTGCCCCGACCCCGGCGCCCACCTTGAGCTGCTTCACGAAGTGCTTCCCGACCGTGATGCCTGCGCTGGGGTTGCCCAGGATGATCTCGAAGTGCTGCTCCAGCGCCAGCCGCGCGCGCACGTGGGCCAGGCGCTCGTAGGCCACGGCCGCCAGTGGCGAGCAGGGCACGCGCAGCAGCACCATGAGCCCGTGGCCGCAGGGGCACTGCTTGGGCGAGTTGAGGAGGTTCTGGGTGATCTCCAGGGTCTCCACCGACGTGTATTTCTTCATCTGGGAGAGGCCCCTCACCGCCATCATGGCGGCCGCGTAGTGCTGCACGAGGACAAAGGTCCTGATCACGGCGCTGTGCAGGCGGGGGAACCTGCGGGGAGACCCAGCATGAGCCCGCGCCCCGCGCCGGGAGCCCACGCCGTCCACGACTCCAGGCTACACACAAGCCGCGTGTCCCCGAGGCTGGTTGTCTGGAGCCCGAAACAGAAGCCGCGCTCCGACGCAAAATCAAACTGCCTGGTGAGTCCAGCGGGAAATACAAGGACAGGCCTGCCGTTGCTGGGGGTCTCTCCGGCTGGCGATACAGGGTGTCCCCCCAAAATGTATACGCGCTTAGAATGATTATACAGTGTTTATTAGCGTACACGGTGCATGTTCAACGTTTAAGAGAATCTACAGAAATGAATAATTTTTTTGTCAATGCCCGTTTTCAAACTGATGACTGTGCTGGTCTAGGCACTGCTGATAACAGGAAGCAGTGGAATCACGAGCATCAGGAATCGTTTGGTATCTGTGCGCCCTCGATTCATCGACGGTTGCCAGTTTTGTACCGTAAATTTGATCTTTTACGTATCCCCATTTTTAAAAAGCCTAGTGGCACTTTAAGGTAAATTATCTTTGTTCAAAGCTTAGTCTGGCTTCACCCGCTATTTCAAATCCATTAAATCTGAAAAGGAGTGAAAATGGAAGTTATCAGCTGTTAGAGGGTGTATACGTTTTCTTGGGACACCCTATTTGTTCAATGAATGGACGGATGAAACAATAAATGCCTATTTAGCATCGCCTGAATTTGTAGTTTCCCGAGTTAGGTCACTTGCCCAGGTTCCCACTAGAAACGGGAGAACCCCCAGCCATCTGTAAGTGCAGCCACCACGAGCCCCAGATTTGGGGGATCATCCTAAAGACATGTCGGTGCGCTCCCTTCAAACACAATAAGTTAATAGTTAATAGAAATGCAACTAAATACGATCAATTCGATAGTGAATTACAAATCAGAACACATCCAGTCAAACCAGGAATCCCAGTGTTTCCTTGAGAAGCATGGTTACCACGTGTGTCTCCACACAAAGGTGGTGACCCCTCCTCCCACAACCACGTGCACAGCTAGAGCAGCTCTGACCCGCGTGTCAGAAACAGACCCCAGAACACCCAGGTCACCGTTTCTCAGCAGGAACACAGAAACTGACACCAGCTTATGCACGATGCTCACGTGAGTTCATTTCACTGGAATGAGTCCCTGAGAAGGTGCCTTTTGAAGCAAATTTTTTTAAAAAAATATATCTCTTTATTGATTTCAGAGAGGAAGGGAGAAGAAGAGAGAGAAATATCGATGAGAGAGTTGTCATTGATCGGCCACCTTCTGCACGCCCCCAACTGGGGATCAAGCCTGCCACCCAGGCATGTGCCCTGACCGGGAATCAAACCGCGATCTCCCAGATCCTAAGTCGATGCTCAACCGCTGAGCCACGCCCGCCTGGGCAATAAAGTAATTTCTTGATCTACAAAGTCAGGAACCCTGCCATGGCCATGTCACCCCGTGAATCCACAGGACGGCCAGCTCACCTTCTAGAAGCATCTCTGACGCAATCCCTGCCACTCATTCTCATCTGCATTCATTCTCCTTAGCATGACAGATCACTGGCCCAAAATGCAGGACAACACATAAACCAGGTCCCTTTGCTGGAGGGACTGCGTCACCCAGGATGGGAGGGAGCTGGATCCCATCCTGGAATTCCCTGGCTGCTCCTGCCTCAACTTGCACGTGACGACTGGGCATCTTTAGTAACTTCAAAGAGAGATGGGTACCTTTTCCCCAATGCCGTAACCATGGCCTCGAAGGAGCTGTCGTATCTGAGCAGGGGCAGGCTGTGCCCTGATAGGGTGGACTCGATGAACTCCGACAGCCCGAAGTACTTCTTATTCTCAGGATATAAGTCCGTGCCCTGAAATGGAGACGAGCATGGGTCACCCAAACATCACACGTGTAGAGACTGCGAGGGGCATGTGCTGGGAGCACAGGCAACCTGGACGGGCACTTGGATCTAAGTGGTGCTAACTCTGCAACCCCTCAGGTGACATTTTCTTAATTTCTTCCCTCTACAGACCCGAGCACAGAGCCTCCAAGCTCGGGTCAATGGTCACCCAACTAAGCCACACCAGCTGGGCATGATCTTCGGTTTTGATGAGAAAATGGCGAGTGATAAACTAAAAACTCATCAGGTCCCATGGGTGTGTGTTCTGTGTGAGGAAGGAGATTTGGACCTTGCTCTTAAGGGTGTGGGGATAATAGGACCCATAGGAACAGGTCTATGGCTCCTAGACAAAACCTTTCCTGTCCTAAGATGGGGAAGCCAACCCATGTACTTCGGGAACGTTCCTACAGACCAAAAAGGGTTGAGATCTAACCCTGGGTCAAACTAAAGATCCAAGGAACTGGGATCCACCGGACCCCAGATATCCAAGTGAATCAAGATCTTGACTCCACTCCAGGGTCACTGGACACCGGGCGCAGCAGCCGGGCACTCACGTTACTGTAGGAGGCCGGCCAGTGGATCTCGTTGTAGGGGCTGATGAGGGTGCGCTGCGTCTGTAGAGCGTACGGGAAGGAGGTCACGTGCAGTGTCACGATGTTGGGGGCCTCCTTCAGCTCCCTGCAGTTGAGCAGCCTGTCCACCAGCCCCACGGACGGGTCACTTTGGGAGCAGAGGTTATGAACAGTGCTACTGAGGGAGGGAAGGGAAGACGGACGGTAAGTGGAATGACTAACACTGATCTGTACAAGGAACAAGCAGTTGGCTCAATTTACAACTAGCCGCTGACGATTGAAGCTTATGGTTCTTCCCATGACCAGGAAAATAATTTTTTAATGACTGAACTACAGGTACCTGTCAGGGATGCCCCTGCTGCTCGTTACTTATTAAAAACGTGGCCGGGGCAGTGTTTACAGACGGGTGCAAGGGACGCAGTCCATCCCTCCTCTAGAGCAGGGAGGGGTCCTCACCCAGGAGTGTCTGGCGAACCCCCTTTTCTCCCTTGGCCCAATCTGATTGTTACCTGTCTCCCTAACCTCTTTTCCCTAAAAACTCCCTACTGACTCTGGCATGATCCAAAGAAGATATAAGGTAAATTCTATACTCAGTTTAAAAATACAGGAATGGAATGGGGAGCATTTTGGACATGGGGCCTGGGAGACAAGTGCCCCTGAGCCTGTCTATGGCAGCCTCAGCACCATCTGTAGATCTAAGGGAATAATAAAAGCCAGGGATTCACCTTCTGGGGTGGCAGGTAGCCACTCTGAGAAACCCACCCTCAAAATATACCTTTTTATATAATTCAGGATGCTCAATTATAGCATCCTGATCCGTGAGCCCTAGACGGGAAACCCTTTATCTGGGGGATCTTTGAGGATCGGGCCAGCCCTGAGCCTCTGAATCTGGGCTACATGAAAGCCTCCCTCCAGGACCTGACCCAAGCTCTCACTTCCCTCCTCAGCCACATCAGTGACAGGGCCTCAATGCGCCCGTAGGGCCAGTCCCATGGAGATGACTGAACCTGACAAACACCGGGAGTCCCGACAGACTCCAGGCCTGATGCCATCTGAAACTCACCCAGATGTACACTCATCTAAATTGAGTAAAATCACTCTTGAAACAGGATGGCACCAGCTGGGACCCAGGGTGCTAGAATCAGTGGGGCCTCCCTCCATCAGGAGGGGCCTGGGATGAGCTGCTCCCGCCAGGGTCCTACCCTTGCACTGGTCTGCTCCTTTGCTGCTGTCTGAGCTACAGGAAAAGTGCCTCCGTGTGCAATTCAGGGGCCTCCGTTCCAGGCTGGCTCTGCCACCAGCACCCTCCTATCATGCCCCAGGGCCTGTGACACTGAGTGCGATGCTTCCCTCCTCCAGCCTCTTTCCACAGTGAGCCCTCTGGGAGGCCACCACTGAGATAACATCCAGCTCTGAGGCTGAGACGCAGCCATGCATCTGCCTACAGATGCCAACCCCCCACAGCACCCGTCTCTGGAAGGCAGTGCCCACACTCCTGTCAGCCATATGTCATTTCAAAGGGATGCGTCAACCCCGCCGCATGCCAAAGCCCCTCTGACCTCAGGAGATCCCAGTGGGCGTGGTCGTGTATGAGAATGAAGAGCGTGTGTGGGTTCTGGGAGGAGCTCTGCAGGAAGGACTTAAACCTCGCCTGCGCTTCGGCATCCAGCTTCAGGACGTACTGTTCCACCCTCTGCTTGGTCACATGCTCCTTGTCCAAGCCGAGCTCCAGTAAGACCCCTGCCGCACAGTGAGAACACACCAGAGTTGTCCCCAACACTGTCCCCGTGTTCACTCACTCAGCAGACAGCCCAGGAGCAGTGCCTTCACAGCCAGCGCTGTGCTCAGCCCCAGGCCACAAGGGTGTGTGAGGCCCGGCTGAGTCAGGGTCCTCCAGAGGACTGCGGTGAAACCATCTGTGCAGGGCTGGGCCCAGGAACAGCCTGCTGACAGCCTGGCATGTGCACAGCAGCCCGTCCAGGGGACACAGCAGAGCTGGCTTCATGATGTAGCTGATCCCAGGCGGGGAAGGGGGGAAGAGGGAGGAAGAGGGGGGAAGGGGAAGGGGAGGTCCCACCCCCCCTTGCAAAAGCATCTCCCAGCCTGCATCTCCGGGCCATAGGGGATACCACAGGGAATCCTTGAGACACTGACTCTGTGTATTTCATATTTAGTCCCCTTGAAAGCACAGGGTAAGTACATTCAAGCAGGATATCAACACACAGGTCAAGGACCAGAGTGGGGCAGAGTGAAAATTCAAGCCCTCTTTCTCCCTTTAACGGATTATAAACTCTCAGGCGAGTCGTCATCTCTCAGCATGAGTTTCATGATCTACAAAACGGGGGTGACACTTCTTGCCCTGTCTACTGTAGAAGCAAAGACTGGTGTTCAGATCCCAACCTAAACTTGAACAGATCGAAGCTCCCCCATGCAAACACCCCAGCTTACCCCGAAGGCCCCGTACCTGAATGCCAGACGTGGAACAGGGTCTGTCGGTAGGTCACTTCCGAGGGTGGGATGCAGATAAGAAAGTCCACCTTCTCGAAGGACCCTAAGTCCAGGTTCTGGGTGCTGGAATCCGCAATGGAGCACACGTGGGACAGGAGTTTCTGGGCCACGGCCAGCTGGAAGGGCCGGATGTGGGGGGCCTCCAGATTGTAACCTAGAACCGGAGCCCCGTGGAGGTGAGGTGCTGGGAGTGGACGGCCACACCCGGGACCTCTGCTAGGGAAACAGTGCAACTCCGTCTAGTGCTCAGTCACAGGGTAAGGGAAACAGCAGCATTTATCAAGCCCCTGCTCCGGGGTTATTCACCACGAGGGTCACCTCACACACCTGTCCCAGCTTTCAGGAGCACAGAGGCGGTGACCTTCTCTACCTGGAAGGCCAAGGACAGCATCCTACGGAACCTGGCCCCAAGTCAGGACTTTGGAAGAGGCTGCAGGTTTCCAGGAAGAAAAGCTGTCATGCTCTCCAGGAACGTGGTGTGAATAAATATTTTGAAAATCACTGCTAGAAATGCGCCAGCTCAGGAGACGTCTACAGACACACATTTCAGGGTAAACGACCTCTATCATCAAGGACTACAATTAAAATTATATGTTGGGTCTAATTTGATGCTAAGGGGAAGCGCTGTCCTCTAACATGTCTGTGTAAGCCCAGGGTCCTTGGACGCTGCCTCGCTAGCCCAGACCCTGGCCGCCAGCTCCCCCTCTCACCACTCACTTGTGCACACTGGGGCCACGCCGATGTCCAGGGACGCTGATTTGGTGACAGAGGAGGCAGTGAGGGAGGAAGAAATATGGCCTTGATTTTCCTGGTGAAATTTGTCCAGCAAAATGTCAATGTCGCCCTCTGCCCAAAACAGAACAAACAACAGAAATGGGTTTTCCATCTCATGAAATTCAGCAAACATCTAGGGACACCTACAATACAGCAGGCACTGTCCTGGGCCTGGGGGAACAGAGATAGAGAAGACACAAGTGTCCTGTCAAGGAGTCCAAGCCCTCCGAGGAAATTATATGGTGACGTGTAGATGCTGGGACAGAAGGAACACGACAGAAGGACAGAGAAAAGGGCCCAAGCCCATCCTGGAAGAGGGTCCAGCTAGGGTTTCTGGGACTATGGGTGAGTCCTGAGGGGTGAGTAGCCAGGCAGAGACCAGAGACGGGTACACCTGGCACAGAACCCATGGAGCGAGCCACAGAACACCCTGCTCCAGTGAGAAACTTCAAGCAATTCAGAGGGGAAGGTAGGAACACTTTGGAGAGAGGCAGAGAACAACAGGCTCAAGGCCCTCATGTGCCCCCAAAAAGACAGAAACCACACACCCAGGAGAACCCACAGCCAGGGCAGGAAGATGGCAGCCAGGGACCATGCCAGCCAGGGCCGTAAATGTTGATGCACAGGCCAGAGGGGCGGCCACGCACACCTGAACCAAGGGCAGCCTCAGCAGGTCACGCGGGATGGGCTCCTCGATGACCTCCCGCTCTGCGTCTTTGTCTGACCCATTCATGAATCTGCGCCTGTCTCACTACAAGCCTACCTGGGCAGAGGGTGCTAAAGAAGGCCCCCAAGGAGTCCACTTTCCCTGTGACCAGCTCATAATTGACTTCTTTCTGGTACTCCGCTGGGGTGAGAAGGCTCTCAGAGAGAATCCGGGCTTGGTATTTCCCTGGAAAACAAGCAATAACTTTCAGGGGCCCCTCCACTTCGAATCAGCAAGGGAGCTCCTTGACGGCAGGTGTACGCCTGTCTGTCTCTCCATCCCCCACGCCGGGCACTGTGCCTGGCTAAGACCTGGTGTTCCCATTGGTTAAATTAACATGGCCTGGCCCTGTGCCACAGGGAGGGTAGTAAGAGGGAAACCCAGAGCACTGGCCTTGGAACCTGACTCTCCCCTGACTCCTTAGCTCTGTAGCCTGGGTGAGTTACTGAACCTTCCCAGGCTCAGTTTCCTCAGTATGAGGCTGACAGTGGAACCCACTTCACAGGACAGTCACGAGAACAAAACAAGACCCTGTTTATAAGACCCGTGGCCCAACGCCCGACACACAGCAGGGGCTCCAGGTTTATTTCTGGGTATACTACCTCAAGTCAACATAAAGTAATTATAGATACAGAATGAATTTAGGATCAAAGATTGGTAAAAGACACTAGGACATNTAGCAGGGGCTCCAGGTTTATTTCTGGGTATACTACTCAAGTCAACATAAAGTAATTATAGATACAGAATGAATTTAGGATCAAAGATTGGTAAAAGACACTAGGACATTGTACGGTAACATACACAAAGTAGGGCTTCAATAAGTGTTTCTATAGTTAATTAAAGGACTTGTTAACCTGCACAACACAACAAGGTCTTTCTTTTTTACCTCCTTTAGTTAGGAGGAGAAACTATGTCTAAGGCCTATCACATGCCTGGTGCTAGGTTTTCCACAGGGTCTGTCCAGCCTCCAAAGCCACCCCAGTAGGGTGGGGGACTGCTCCCCATTTCATCCCAAGAGGAATGGCATCTTCTCCAACTCAGATCCAGGGTACGAGTGGCTGGCACCAGGAGGGCCACTGGGCACTCACTGCAGTTCCTACCCAGCAGCTGCCAACCCAAGGCCACGAGGGGCAGAAAGGGCAGAACCGCAGAGGGCGACTGGGAAACTAACAGCCGCTTCCCCGTCTGCCAGGCGGGCGAGGGCCTCACCGGTGACCGCGATGCAGGAGTCGATGGCCGCGCTCCGGCAGGCACAGATGATCACCACGTAGTTGGTCTTGGCCAGCTTGCCCTCGACGAGCAGCCGGAACATCTCGGAGAGGCCCTCGGCCAGGGAGTAGGTGCACTCGATGACATGCACGCTGTCGTTGCAGGAGCTGGCGGCCAGGCCGGCCAGCCAGGGCAGCTGCGCCGAGGTGACGGGCGCCACGGCGCCGGGCGCGGGCGGGAAGGGCTGCGGCGGCGCCTGCTGGTACTGCCGGATCTCCGTCAGGTGCGACTCGCGCCACGAGCGCAGGAAGATCTGCTCCAGGTCCTCCATCAGGGGCACCTGGTCCGCCGCTGGCAGCACAGGGCAGGGGGAGGAGGCCTCAGCGCCTGCCCCACACCCCCCACGTGCCTCACGCACCTCACGCGCCCATGCACCCCAGTGCCCACGTGCCTCACTGCACCCATGCGCCCACGTGGCCATGTGCCCCACGTGCCTCAGGCTCCACATGACCCACGTGCCCACACACCCCATGCGCCCACATGGCCACGTGCCTCAGGCTCCACGTGCCCACACACCCCATGCGCCCACATGGCCACGTGCCCCACGTGCCCCACGTGCCTCAGGCTCCACGTGACCCACGTGCCTCACTGTGCCCCACGTGCCCCCACACCCCAAGCACCCACATGGCCACGTGCCCCACGTGCCTCACTGTGCCCCACGTGTCCCCGCACCCCATGGCCCACATGGCCACATGGCCCACATGCCTCACTGTGCCCACGTGCCATACGCCCCACACGCCCCACAAGCCCCACACAGAGGCTTCACACAAAGGCAATGGGCAGTTCTGGGAAAATGCATTTAAGATCATTTAAAAACAACGGTGATCTAAGTTATTTGTTGCATCGTGTTCCAGATGCCTGGAGATGCAGTGAGGATAGGAAAGCAGCCATCGCCTCACCATCCTAACAGAACCACAGCTATTTTAGTATATTGCTCAGTATTTCGCCGCCCCCAAAGGCAGGCTTTAAATTGCTATAAGGATTGTGGGCTTAGGACTTCAGGGCTCGTTACTTTCCTCACCATCACCCCTAGTAGCGTTTCCAGGCTGCTCATGATCTTCAGGAAGAGCCCTGATAATGGACAGCTGATGTCCATCAGAGCGAGGCACCTGCATCTACTTAGCAATGTCTCTATTGTTGGTTCTTTTATTGCCTCCGAAGGATCCTTTATAAATAATTCTGCAGTGCACATCTTTCTGTATAGAACATGACGTCCTCAGTCTAAATTCTCAAATGTGAGCTTACTGAGCCAGTTTCTACAGATCATCAGACTGTTTGTAGATGGTCTAAACGTGTCAACTTTTATGTTAAATACCTTGCTGACTGGTCAAGGTGGTAAAAGCAGCCAGCTGCACCAGTGAGTTCTGGCTCGAAATAGCTCGTCAGCAAGGTGTTAATGGCACAGATTGGTTTAATTGCAGCCTTAGCTCCACTGGACACCATCACTCGGGTTGTTGTCAATAATTTGAGAAAATTTTTACTTGTTTCATTGGTTAATTTGCATCTCTTTAATGATTAGTGAGATGAAATACTTTCAACATTGGTTTCCTACCGGGATTCCCTGGTTTATGTGTCCAAATTTTATAATTGGGTGAGTTGGAGGCAAGAACACCACACTTCTGCTTAGAAGATGTGTTCCCATCCAGCCCCACCCGGCACCAGCTGCGGAGCCCTGAGCTCTCCTATGAGTTTCCCAATCTGAAAAAATGGGGATCACACCGCCCACTCACTGGGCTGTGTCACAATTTCACTGGATTTGCTGTTCTATCTCCCGTGTTTATACTCTTTTCCCCAAGCCCACATCCCCTTCGAGAACCCCCCCCCCAAAGGCTCCCAGGGAGTTCTCCAACCCACTCCAATGTGGGTTATCCACACTCCTTATACACCACCCATCAAGGTCACCGATCACTTCCATATGCCCCAAACCAACGGTCAATATTCAGTCTTCACTCAACTTTCGGCAGGTAAATCACTTTTGAATTATCTCCATGGATTTTGGCCTATTTTAAGCCCTTCCCAGCCTCTCAGGGTGGTGACCACTGCAGNTGGCAGGTAAATCACTTGAATTATCTCCATGGATTTTGGCCTATTTTAAGCCCTTCCCAGCCTCTCAGGGTGGTGACCACTGCAGTCCCTGATAACACTTGCCAGCACATCCCCTGGATTTCATTCCCACCACCCACAGCTGGTCTTCACACGGCTGCCAGCGATGGTCAGGACGAGGGCTTGGGCACGTGCCCCCACCTCTAGCGATTACTCCAACAGAGGTTCCCGCAAGAGGGGAGGGACTCACCCAGCTGGACCAGATAGTAGACAGTGAGCAGGAGCTGCATCTCCTCCGAGATGGGCTGGATGGTGGAGGCTCCGTATTGTTCGTACGCTCTGGAGATGGACTGGGAGTTCTGGTAGCACGTGTACAGGAGCGGGCTCACGACCACGTCGTTCAGGTTCCCACAGAGGTAAGGGAAGTTCCCGTGGCCTGTGGGCAAACAACAGCATCCGCCCGTCAGCTGGCCTCGGGCACAGCCTGGGGCCCCACGAGTGTGGACGTCTGAACTCAAGGGAGTTAAAGCAGGCAGGCGATTGCCTGTGTAGTAACTCAAGTGCCCTTTCTCAAGGAAATGTCCAGCTTCCAGCCCTTGCTCACCTGGGGTCCCTGCTCTCATGACCAACTGGGCAGTAGCATTCATTTAATCCAATCCCTTATTCTACAGGCGAGAAGTGAAGGCCCAGAAAGCAGTGCCAAGGCTGAATGGCCACCCGAGCCGTTCCTCCAGCACCGACTCGAGCGGCTCATGTGGGTGACGCCTTCTCAGTCTTTGCCAGCCAAGCCTCCCCAGTGACCCCATGTGGGATTCTGCCTCCATCTTCCCAGGACTCTCTGAATTTGGAAAATAAATCGCTGTGCAGACCAGAGACTCTGCACACTGACAGGCTCAACAAGGACTTTAGCAAATGTACCAGATTCGTTCTGATGATGACTCTCAGAGGCGGGAGAGCCCAGGCCAGGTTCAAGTCTCTTCTGCGCCATTCATTAGTTACGTGACCCTAAGCAAGAAGCTTAACTTCTGTGAACCTCAGTCTCTACATTTGTAAAATGGGATAAAGATAGGACATCATTGTGGGGTTCCTGAGATGAGCAAATGTAGCAAATGTGCATGAGCGTCCCCTGAAAGGCTGGGCCTGACTGCGTGTGCATGGGTGTGCATGGGTGTGCATGGGTGTGTGTGTGTGCACGTGTGTTGCCAGATGACAGCACATGGTACAGGTAGGTGCCATCATCAAATAAGTCCTCACATTTCAAGGTCTCCCACTTCATTAGAAAAGGGATTTCTTTAGTTGAGCCCAAAACTGACCCCCACATAGCATACACACATTAGCCTACTCACACAAAATAAGATCAAATCTAGTTTTGTTTTATGTTTCTTCATGATGACCGTGGCTGTCTTTATCCAACCAAAGTCAGAATTCATAGTCAAAAATACCAGCGGCATAGAGTGACGACAGAACCATCCCCAGCCCGGCCCAGGGCTCCTGGTCTCACAAATCAGCGAGGACTGAGCATCTATCTCTAGTCCTTGGTGCTCAGCACCAAGCCTGTCACCTGTCACCTGCCACCTGCCACCATGGCAGGAGCCTAGAGAGGTCGAGGAAGTGAAGGAAGGAGAGAACAAATGAACACCCTGGAGTGAAATCACTTCACTCGGGCCTGTCGTGGAAAACAGTGACAAGCTCCATAGCTGTTAACATCTGATCGGGGGCCACACCTGTGGCTGGTCTGCTTGGTCTTTTCATTGCCCTGGAGGGAGTTTTGGCACCTTCTCAGGAGGACACCCTCGGGCCGATGCCCGGAGCCTGCCTCTAGCCTCGCCCCCTCCGCCCCGCACTGCGCCGCGGGACTTGCCTTTAAATATCACCGGCTTGGCCTTGCATATCTTCAGCAAGTTGTCGGGAACAGACACGGGTTCTCCGGAGGCCACCACGGGAAAGGTGACTGAAGCTGGTTCCACCAGGCCAACCTGGGGCATGCAGGCCACGCCCACACTCTCTGGAAACACGCCGAGGGTGTTAGGGAGACACACACACGAGGCATCCATCTCCCGCAGACCCAGCGTCAGGCGGCCAACGCATCTGCTACAGCGTGACCCTATCCCCCCACCACCACCCCCCCGCTGGCTGCCACCGGGGCACCCAAGTCTTGGAATCGCAGATTTCTGAGGTCAAAAGCATCTTCAAGGTCACTTGGCCCAACTTCCCCACCAAATGACCCATCTCCTCTTCAGTATCCCTGACAAGCTCCTTCTTAAATTCCTTTAGGATCAGGGAACTCATTACCACGCAGGGACCCTAGGCTTTGTGACACAACTATAATAGAGAAAGAGAGCCTTTCGTTGTACCCAAGTCAGCCTCCCTAGAGATTCCTCACCAACACACACACGCCACCAGCAGCCAGCACCGCCACCACTCGTAGCTGAGCCTTGGGTTTCTGATAAGGCTCCTGTCACTTACCATACTTCGCTCTGTTCCCACCACCCTGGGGGTAGCCCCCGTCTGCAGCTGATGGAGACTCTGGAGACCACCCTTTGTGGCGCTTCTTGGGGGGGCCGGAGTTTGATAAGATACCTAGACAACATCCAGAGAGTGGATTAGGCTGTCTCTAGGGAGGCGCTTCAATAAAACATTCCCCTGACTTGCAGAATACTTATTTGTTATATATTTTAAAATCACAGTTTACAGTGGGTTTTAGCATCTATTGAAGTATCTGGGCACAAGAAAACATCTTGTCAGTCTTTGTAAATGTTTCATTCCATTGCAGGTGTGTAAACTTCAATTCGGAGCCTTAGCTCCTTCACCTTTAAAATGGGTTGATAAAACCTACTCTGGAAGGGGCTTTGATCAGGACTAACGAGAATATATGTAAAGCACAGAGTTTGGGTCCAATAAATGGTAGCCACCAAGACCCACAGCAGCAACAGCAGCATCTCACATGCCAATGTACTAACACCTGTTCCTCAATCCACCACTGAAGTTTCACCACTTGGGGGCGGTACCGATCCACCAGTGCCCTCTCCCACCCCAGCCCTGAAAGCTCATTTCCGACCAAAGAATCCGGGGGAACAGAAGCTGGTACCCACTGCTGTTCATGAGTCATCCTGCCCACACTAGATGACAGCATGCCCGTGACTCACGCTATGTTCGNTTGAAAGCTCATTTCAGACCAAAGAATCCCGGGGAACAGAAGCTGGTACCCACTGCTGTTCATGAGTCATCCTGCCCACACTAGATGACAGCATGCCCGTGACTCACGCTATGTTCGTGAGTTATTCAAAATATCAAGAACTGGTTACCATACTTTTATGACCAATTTTTTAATGCAAAATTTCCTCTACATTTAAAGCTACACATTCAACCCTGACTGGCTTATGAGAAGGCTCCTGGCAGCACAGAGGAGAGCACTGGACTCGGAGTCAGAGAGCTGGATCCCTGCTCTGCCTCAACTCTTCCTCAACCCACAGCCTCTGCTCTAGCAGGGGGTCTGCTTAACCCCTCACTCACCTCCTCCTCACGCGGATCCTCGCCTCCTCCGTCCCTCTTCCTCACTTCCTCCCAAACCATCTCTAATTAATGCTTCCCCCGCTGTCAGCTGCAGCTCAGCTGTCACCTCCTCCAGGAAGCCCTCCCTGGACAGACCAGCTCAACGATGATGCTGATGTGGGTGGCAATAAGGTGCCCTTAGTGAGCTGCTACATGTGCCCTGACTCCATGTAGCACCTCGTCTGATCCTCTCAACAGGCCTCAGAGCAGAATTCTTCCCGCCAGACAAGGGAACATTTAGCCAGAAGTCTTATCCAAGGTCCCCCGACTAACAAGAGGCAGAGCTGGATTTTGGATCCATATTTATCTGATGTTCCCATGATACCAGGACTCTACAGCCCTCCTGACAGGTGGCTCACAGTGAGACAAGCATGACAGGCTCTCACGGCTGCTTGGCAGAACCGGTCACCCAGCACCAGGGCCTGGGCACAGCCCCACGGACTCAGGAGGCACCTGCCGACCTGGCTAGACTCTCCTTCCCAGCAACACCAATTCCAGGAGGCTCCCGAGTCCCCCCCCCCAAAGCCTTGACCCCAAGAAGGGCAGGACCCCCAAGACAGGCAACGCTACCTAGTGCCGAAGGCCGTGGCACAGCTGACAGCTTGCTCTTCACCAGCTGCTGCTGTTTCGGGGAGTCTTTGCCGTTGAGAACAGCTGGGCCCGCTGCTGCGGTGAGTGAGGGGTGATCGGGGGCTGGCCCTGGGCAGAGAGAAAGAGATGGAGCAGGTCAGCTCACCACACGCTCGGCGCGCCCAGCGAGCCAGAAATTACTTTTCTTTCATTTTTTCAAACTAGCTTTTCATTGCCGAGCCCCATCGGGAGGACAGACTCCTGACACAGAGATTCTGCGCCTCTGAGAAAACGTATACAAACATACACACATGCACACGCATGGGCACACACATGCACAGGCTCCTGCAGTGAGCACTCCCCACTGGAAGGACCGAGGGACGGCAGCGGCCAGCGGGGCTCCATGACCCCAGGACTGGCCCTGAGGCTTCCCAACTTCCTTCTACCTTCTCGTCGCCCTCAGAGTCAGGTGTGTATCAGGAGCTGTCAGGTGTGTGGGCACCGAGGTCGCGGGTGCTCACGGGCTGGGCACACTGAGCACATGACACAGCGTGCTCTGGTCTCACCTGTCTAGTCTCACCTGCCCCTCCCTGGAGCCCAGTTCCAACACTGCCTTAGTGCCCATTACCCAGCAAGCTCAGTGCTGCAAACGGGGTGCAGAGGGATCCCACCCCCCACCAACAAGGGGATCACATGACATAGCTAAGAGGAACGCAGAACACCTTTCCAAGTTAAAAACAAAGCGTTCAGGGTTGAAAACTATTCCAAATTCAAGGTGAAATGCAAAGATGTGGCAGGAAAAGAGAACACAAAACACGCCCCCGTTTATCCGAAGGTTTGGCTGCGCAGCCAAGCAGCCAGGTGGCTCCCTCGGGGCTGCTCTGTCGCCTCACCTGCTGGCTGCGCCCCCACGGGGATGCTGGGGTTCGTTCCAGGAGTGGGCTCGCCGGAGAAGGCAGCCAGGGGCCCAGAGCTGTCCAGCGGCGGGAAGAGGGCACTGGAGCAAGGGCTGGGGTTGGCCTGCCGGCCTCTGAACTCTGCGGACAAGACACAGCCGTGAAAACCAGCTCACTGCTGCCCCACCCGTTAGAGGTGACCTTCCAGGCTGGGGTTTGACCTTCGGGAGAGCCAGGTACGCAGACAACTGTAATGGGGCCAACACCACCCTGCTCTTTGTTTCGGTGCAGCCGGGGAGGAGGGGGTGCGACAACCCCCACGGCTCCGTGCCGAGGGCAGGGGTCCATGCGAGGGACACGGACTGCCAGGAGAGGAAGAAGCGAGCATTTGTGGAAGAAAGATGAACAGAGGATACAAATGCATCATCCGGTCGCTGCCCTCGGGTCCAAGGAAAGAGCAGAGCGTCGCTCAGAGGTAAAGGTAAAGCCGATTTGTCCCTCCAGCCCGTGAGCCGCCTCCGCCCCAGTGAGGGGCCGAACCTGCCAGGTGCTCGGTCACAGTGAGTGATCGGAACCCTTACCTGGTCCCACGGCGGGAAGAACCTGCCGCCCCGGGACCTAGAAAATGACTGGCACTTAGCAGCAGCTCCAGAAATATTCAGTGAGTGATGTAAGAAAAGAGTGACAGGGGCAGTGGGGGCAGGAATGCCCAGAGCCAGCCCCTGCTGGAGCCCCGATTCTACTCAGGGGAGCTGGCCGGGAGATTCCAGTGACCCCAAGTGAACCAACGTGGACAAGTGAGGGGCAGCAGGCGGGTTCTCCTGGTCGTGTCACTGAGAACCCTTCTAGAACATGCCCCTCTCCTCACAGGCTAACTGGGGGTATCTCAGGAGCAACCAAGGCTGGGCCTCTGAAATCCAGCCCCTGCTTCTCCCTTCCATAGCTGACTGTGGCCATGGGCCCCTCTCCCACAGGGGGACAAAGGGGGGGAGTGGAGCACAGTGACTTCTTCAAGGACCGGTGGAGTGGAGGGCATTATTCAAGTCAAGTTTCTCTAAATCAGGGTTTCGCAGCCTCGCACCATGGACACAGACCAGATAAATCTTGGGGGGGGGGGGGGCCTGTGAGCTGCAGTGTGTTTGGCAGCCTCTCTGGCTTCCACCCATCAGATGCCAGCAGCACCCTTCAGTCGTGACAATCAAAAATGTCTCCAGCCTGGCCGGTGTGTCTCGGCGGTTGAGTGTCATCCCACGCACTGGAAGGTCGCGGGTTCCACTTCCGGTCAGGGCACATGCCTGGGTTGTGGGCTCAAACCCGGGTAGGGCCCGTATAGGTACAGGAGGCAGCCGATCCATGTTTCTCTCTCTCTCTCCCCCCCCCTTTCCCTTCCTCTCTCTAAAAATCAATTTTAAAATCCTTAAAAAAATGTCTCCAGATAATGCCAAATGTTCACCTGGGGACAAAACCACCCCCACTGGAGAACCCTCTACACACTGGCCACGAGAAGGTACAGCATGGTGTGGCCGGCCTCTGCCAGCTTTTAAATGGCCCACACAACTAGGCCGACGCTATAAACAACACACCATAATGCAGGCGGCATTTAAATCCCACAGACTGCCCTCTGGCCTGCAACCCTGCGGGCTGCAGAGCTGTCCCTCTGCAAAGTCCTGCTGACGGCACCTGGCTCGCCTGGGGGACACGCCCTTCACCCGCCCCGCCCTTCGGAGCTGAGCCGCTCACCTGAGCCTCTCCAGCAAATGAGGGGTCCTTTGGTGAGAGCCCCCTGCGCGTTGCGCACCAGGTAGTACTTCAGGTGTTTCTGCTTCTTGGGCTGGGTGGTCAACTTCAGGTTGATGTGGTTGGAGAATTCCGTGAAGTAGCAGAAGCCTTTCTTTCCACAGCCAACGCAATTCCCAGAGAACCCTGGAGGAGGGAACAAGGCGTGAGCCCCTCCACCTCCCACAAAGGCCTCTTCCAGCAACACACCGCTCATCCAAACTCTGACCACCCATGTCCTCTACACCAACCCGAGGACTCCACAGTGAAGGTTCCCGGCGCCTCGGTCTGGCCCGGCGGTCAGGACAGCCTTGACTCCAACAAGAGGACCAAAGAGACTTGGTCACAGGCGGAGATGGGCCCAGACGAGCCTGGAAGACTGGACTTGCTGAGGGGCGTAGAGGAAACTTTACAGGACCAGCGCGGTCTCCTTCAGCCGTCAGCCCTGGCCAGGCACCGGCAGCACCCGGCATGGCCCCGGCTTCCTTCAGTGCCGGCCACCTACAGAATCTCAACACTTGCTCCCTGACACTAGGTGCATTAGGAGACGGGTTGGGAGTCCAATTCCCATCCCGGAGTCAAGGAATTGGATCCCATGAGTTGCTGAAAAGAAACAAAGAAAGCTCCATGCTTGCAGGCCAGGGCTGCGTCAGGGAATGCCGGGGGCTCAGCAGCCGAAGGAGCGGAGACACTGTGCTGGAATGTGGCTGTCCCGGTGTCCCCTGGCTACCCGAGGCCAGGAAGGGCCTTTCTGGGAGGTGACAGAGGCTCCATGAGCTGGGAGGCTCTAGGAAGGCTGCCTACACGGTGGTGATGGCAAAACCACCTCCCATGGACCATTAAAATCCAGAGAACAGGCTTGAGAAGACTTCAGGGACCGTAAAGTCTATTCAGACGCCCCCTGCTCCAGAGACTTCCCTGTCCCAAAGGGCGGCCTCACCATTCTCCAGACCCTGCACCTCCTTATTGCTCAGAGGGCCCCCTAACGCCTCCCTTGGTGTGGCCACATGGAGGCGTGAGTTGCGTCTGTGCACATACGTGTAGGCGCACGCACTAGTGCTGGGCACGGGGCAGATCGTCAGTAAAAATCGGGAAGGAAGGAAGGAGGCAGGAGGCGGGAAACCAGGTAACTGTAAGAGTGAACCCTGGGAGGTCTCTGCACACACTTTGAAGTGATAAACATTTTTATTAATCCCTTTGTCTCCAACGTGGGAACCTTGAGAAACGCAGCTCAGCTGCCATCTAAGGATAAGTCCCCGAGAAACCTTCCGAGGGATTCTGAGCCCAAGTGTTGAAAAGATGGATGGATGGGCAAGAAACAGAACCACAAACCTGAGGATGCTAAGAGCAGTTTGCCGAGCCCAGCGCTGCCCTCCCTGTCCAGGGACAGAGCAGAGGCCTCTGTTCCATGAGAAATGTGGGCTATGGGGCCATTTCAGAAGCAGGGATGGGAACCACAGACCACAAGAGCCCCGCTTTGTGGATCCGAAATGAAGGGAGAAACCTCGGCCTTCCTGGGACAGTCAGTATTTAGGAAGCCGGCCAGCAAACTGCTCCCCTGCTTGGCAAACTCTCTCTGATCGGGAGAATCCGCTGCTCTGCTGAGAGATGACCCTGGGCCAGGGAGGGCCAGCCAAGAGAACCACAGGACGGTTCACCAACCGGGCCCGGGAGACCGAGAATGGTTTAAACCACCCCAGCTGAACATGTGCAATAACTCTAATCTTTCAAGAAATTGTCTGAAAGGCAGTAAAAGTTTTCATGAGGAAGACTGTAATAAGCCGTTCTCTTTGGAAAGCTCCCTGAGGACTTGGAAGTCTATAATAATCTCTTTAGAAGATAGGCTTAGAAAGCGTGCCATGAAGCCCAAATCCTCGAATTCCTGCCAGGCACAAATATCCAGACCTGAGAAAACCAGTCCCTCAATGTCCTGTCCCACGGAAAACAGCCCATAAAAATGAATCGCTCTTGACCACCCACAGCAGCACTCGGCGATTTCCCCACGGGGCCAGGGTTGCTGTGTAGCAGCTGCAGGTGGCGTCTGTTTAACAAGCATATCCTGCACGCATGCCTGCGTGTGCGGCCACCAAGCCAGGCTCTCCCTTCTGCTGGAGAGAAAGCTCCTGTCCTGTTCCCCCCTCCCTGCAGGGGAGCATGAATCAGAGTGACCGGGTTCAAATCCTGCCTCACTACTCATGCGGCTTTGGGCTGGTTAATTAACATCTCTGAGCTTTGCTTTTCTCATCTGTAAACAATATAACAGCAAACATTGATTACACACTGACCAGGCACTGAGGCAAGCACGACACATCATAAATGTTCTCTTAAACCTCCAGCAGCCCTCGAAAACAACTCAGGGGTTCCCCAGTTTCCAGATGAGGGAATCAGGCACAGACAGAAAGTAACTCGCCCATGGGGGCGGGGTGGGAAGTAAGGGAGCTGGGATTGAACCATTCGGCTATGTCATGTCCTCACAAAAATCCACCTTGAAGGAGCATGAGGAGGGTAAAGTGCCCTCTATGTGTTCAGCACACAGTGGGTACACAGCAAACGTAATTTCTTCTCCCTCTCTCGGACAGGCACAGCTATATTAGAGAGCAGAGCTCAGGGCGGGTCAGGAGACTCAAGTCTCACCCTACCTAGGCCATCACGGCGCTGATATGGGGTAAGTGGTTCGCTCTCTCCGGGTTCCAGTTTCCCAACCATAAAAGGGAAGGTAAGAACTAAGTGAACCCTATGCCCCCTTCCAGAACCAAAGTTACATGATTCGTCTTTGAAGCATCCACAGTGGCTTCCTTGGGGCGCCGAGGGTGGTCTCTGAGCACACAGCTAATGGCAGGCTGCAGGAGGTCCACCTGGGACAGGCCCCAGGGGGTGGATGGTAAGAGGCTCAGAGGTCCCAACGATCACAACACCGTAATTATCTGGAATCCTGCAACGGGCTAGTAACTAGCCTCAGGTCCCCTGCCTCAGTTTCTCTTTTAATAAAAATCAGTTATTCATGTGACCTCCGAGAGATCTTTCTAAAATGCACATTAAAACATGGCAGTCCCTTTATCTGAATACTTCCGATGTTTCTCCTATAAACTGTGAGAGGGAAACGAGGAAGGAAGGGCATATAAATAAAGAGAGACAATAAATTAGGCTTAAGAGACACAACAACCACATGCTTTGTAAGAATCTCATCTTGAGCTTCATTTAAAAAACCAACTGTAGACGAATTTATAAAACAAAACTTTAACACCCTGGAGGTTTGGTAATATGAAGGAATCAATGTCAAATTTTTTAGGTATGATGATATTACTGGATTTCCCACAAAAGGCCCTGATCTTTTAGAGATACAGACTGAATCATTTACAGATGAAAAGACAAGATGCCTAGGGTTTGCCTCAGAATAACTTGGAAGGTCGGGAGGGAGGAAGAGTTATAAGTGAAGCAGGGCTGGCCGTGTGTTAGTAGCTGCTAAAGATGAAAGGCAGACATGTTAGACGGCTGCCTTGCTGTCCTACCCCATAGTTAGAAAACAGCTCCCTGGGCACGGCAGCCTTCTCCCAGCTGCAGCCACAGGAGTCCCCACCGTCCCTCCAGCACGCCATGCTCCTTCACACATGACGTCCCTCTACCCGACACGCCCTTTGCCCTCTAGGACATGAGTCCCAGGGTGAGGTCATCTGGATTCAAATTCAAGGCCTGCCATTTACTAGCTGGGTGACCCTAAGCAAGTTGGTTAACCTCTCTGTGCCTTTGTTTCTTCACATATAAAGGCTAGATAGCAACGAGCCCGTCTCACCGGGTTCTTCTAACCAAGAATGGTTCCTGGCACAGGATGGGCCCCAATAAAGTAGCTGCTCTTCATGTCCTTCCCCAACTGGCAAAATTTCACTCATCTTTCAGGGCCCAACTCAAACACCCCCTGAGGCGGCTTGCCCATCCCTGGGAGCTGTGCCCCCTTCACGATCCCCGCCACACCGTGGACCTGGGCTGCAGAGGTCTGTGTAGGGTTGGCTCCTCCGGCCGCTCGAGCGCGCCTCTGAGCCTGCCTGCCTGCGCTCTCCCACCAGACACCCAGCTCCCGAGGAAGGACCGGGTCTGACTTGGCTTCGGGGCCCAGGCTGAACTTCAGGTCCGCCTTCAGTTTGGGGGTACACATTCCAAAAATGCTTAATTATTTGCCTGCTGAGTAAACAAAAATCTTGCTTACTCCCATCTAAAAAAAAAAAAAAATGAACATTCTACTTATATGTTTTCTTCCGATGTATTACGGTAAAAAAATCTGAAACACCCACCTGGATTGTAATCTTTCCACTTTCTCAGGCAAAATCCCTCCACTGATTCAGTCACTAGAACAAGACTCTCTTCATTATCAGTTATGGGCGGGGAGCTGGCCAGTGCTTCCCCCAAGATTATCCACAGTTCCAGTTTATAGGTCACTAAAACTCACTGGGCCCCGTCCCCCGAGGGCTGCGGGGCCACCCTGTCCCGGGCAGACATCCGGGCTGATTGCAGGAAACCTAAACAGTGTTAAGTGTGCAAGCTGAGAGCATAACGTTATTTTAAAAGAAGAAAGCCTCGGCTATTACCAGCCGGCCCTTGTTACCCACCTCGATGGCTTTTTGGAGAGCAATTAACAAAGACGCCACTTCCTCCGTGCTCGCCGCCTGAGGAGCGGAGGCTGTTCCGGGCCGGGGCTGAATGAACTGAAGGATTCTTGTCTCCACATTTGAAGGCACAGGACCTCCTCGATTTACTACCCTCGCAATTCCTTTATTCACAGGGTGGCGGGATGCCGGCGAGCCCAGGCCACCGCCCCATCAAACGCTGACCGAGCCACCAGGCCGGCTTCCCAACACGGCTCAGCCAAGTGGCCTCATAAGCAAATTAAATCTGAGGCGCAATCAGTGACTCTGGGAGCTTCTTTGCCATAGTGAATTTCCTGGGATTTTTCTTATTTTCAAGAACTAGTTACAATAAGCCCAGGAACCTGCCCAAAAAGTTGGCTCAAACGTTCTTTCTCCCTGGTACTTATTGTCCCAGAACCATGTCTGTCTCTCCAGTCAGTACTTGTCCGCCTGTTTCAGAGTTTACTCGAGGGCCATGTCCCCCCACCCCCACCCTCAGGGCAGGAACTATTCCTGTCCCTTCCAGGGGT